TTAACAACCCCACAAAGTCTTGTATATTATACAACTAGCTGTACTATGGCTTCGGGCTATGTGGGGTCATTTAACAGGTGGAGGAGGACATCTATGTATTAATCAAACTGGCCATGATAAAAAAAATGTTTTCCTTGTTCTAAATCACAGCATGGCATGTAATAAAGGGCTCCTTTCCAACTGAGGCACAAGTCATCATCCTTTACCATGGTGATGGCTACAATTTATGATGATGGATACGAGGAGATCCCAACCATCAAAGGAGCAGTGTCTAATGTTCCCCAGGGCTATCCAGAGCATATCCTAATTCTGGTCCCAAATCAGAAGCCACAACTGCCCCACAGATCTCACGCAAGTCACACTTCCTCTCTGACACTTCCTGACCATGCCATACAATGGCACTCAGAAGTTGACTGAGCACCTCAAATAACTCAAGGGAGTCAGGAGTTCTTACATAGAAGAATGGTTCCATTCTGTTTCAGGAGATCTATAGAAGGAAATCCTTTTACTCATGGGTAACTCCACCTACCGTATCCCTTAGCAACAGAATATGAACTCCAGCAATGTTTATAAAGTGAGAAAATGTTCCTATAATCCCTCCAATCATGATATGCCCTTGTGGGTTAACCAGTGACCTCTCCCATGCAAAAACACAGGTCTTACTCTAAAATGTCATGTTCCTTGCATTTTGGGCTTCTGTAAAGTTAGCCAGTACTACTTAGAAGAGGAAGTACCAAAGGAATCATTAAAAAACTAGAAGGGTCAAGTTTAGATGAACATCATTTTTATCATATTCACAGAAAAATGTTTGTCTATCACATGCTATGTGCCAGGCACTAGGCATCTGTTATCTCATTTGATCTCCATAAAGATCACATTTTACAGATGTGGGAACTGAGGTTTGAAATGATTCAGCATCACACAGTGAACAGGAGCTTGAGGCAGGATTCTAAAGAGAGCACAGAGCCTCTACTACCTGATTCCACTGAGACAAAGTCTCTTGCAGAAAACTCGAAGAAACTTTTTCAGCCTCTCTTCCTTTTCAGGTAGGAAAAGAAAAACCCAGAAAGGGAAAAAAAGGACTTGCCCCGGCCTTACTGTATCTCAGTGTCAGAGCCCAGGCCAAGGTTCTTTCGTGTTTTATCCATGTTTCCTCTACCTCTGGCTGCAGAGCAAAGCAAAGACATGGATAAGCCATGGGAGAAGGAGTGATGAGGTTTGCAGAGGAGTCAGAAAACAAATAGTGATCACAAGGAGAATGGCTGCCCTCTCATCACACCAGCCTCACTCAGTGACCATATTCCCTCCACATCATTTCCACACCTACATTCGGCCTGTCCCACCTACTCCTACCTTAGCCTGGCTCTACTGGAAAAACCTAATGTATCACAGCCCTTAGGCTGTAACACAAGTTTAAAAGGGCCTACCATTGGGGTTTGGGGCCAGGGAGAAGAAGCCGGAAAGTCAATGAAGCCAGATTATCACCGAGCTCTAACGTTTTCGAGCAGGGATGACTAAGGGAAGGCGAGCCCAAGAGAAGATGGCACCCCTGCCTGGCTACCTGCCTAAACTCTTCTCTGGCTCCCCACCACCTGGTGCCAGACTACTCATCACTGCTGCCTCTGCACCTCTGCCTGGACTGGCCCTGCTGCTTGGTCCTCAGCACTGCCCATGGAGCAGCCCTTAGTCTTGGCCCTTGCCACATGGGTTCTCACTCAGTTTCTCAAGGAAATGGGCCACACCTGCTCATTCTTCAGGCCTTTGCAGGAGTTGGGTCTTCAAACTTGCTTATGCTCAGGCTCCTCCCACTCCCCCAGACCCAGCCCTCCACATTCACTTTATGCCGACCCCCAAAAACTCAGTTTAAATGTCACTTCCTCAGGAAAGCCTTCCCTAATTCCACAAGATCTCCTATCACACATTTTCAACCCACTGGCCAGGACAAATCTTGGTACCTTGCAGTCTGTCTCTACTGGTGATTGTTCCATTAAATCATTAATACAAATCTGTAAACTCCATGGAGATAAAGACCAAGTCTACTCGTTGCACTCTTCACTTCTCAGGGCATGACACAGTCCTGGCATATACTCAAATCTACTGAATGAATGAATGACTAGAGCTCCGAGTGTTCCACATCTCCTACAAGGAGAATAGTGACATCTAGCGACTGAGTTCACACTTGGGCTTCTCTGATAACACCCACCAACTGGCCTGGAAAACATCTTGCTGGATTTCCAAAGAAACGGATATTTTGATCATGCCGAGGGAAGCTGGCATAGAATCCAGACATGGGGAATCTGACTCCTACGCAAGGAGGGAAAGAACCACCACTCCTCTTGCTACCACATGTGCCAAGAACACATCACAAAAGTCCTGTGACTTAGCTAGGACGGTGCCACATTACAGATGAGGAGAGTGTGGTCCAGGGAGGCAGCACTGGGCCAAGTTTATGGAGGAGTAAGTGAGGATTTTCCCAGCCTCACCCACCAAGTCCTGGAGACCCCGGCCCTGTGCAGCTAATCATGCTGCTTCGCTCATCCGCACTGATACAACACTGGTCAGATCATCGTTGGTATTTACTGGAAGCTTCAACAGCCTCCTCACAGGGCTCCCTATTTCCACATTCGCATTTTCACACCCAACTCTCACCTTAAAGCCAGAGGGGTAGAGATATAGATAGATAGATAGATAGATAGATAGATAGATAGATAGATAGATATGTTTGATTTTTTTGTTGTAGTGAATGTGGGGACCTCGGATGCACAGAATTAGGTTATCTATGATGCTCATGACTTAAGCTAATTATTGCACCATGTATGGTTAGGCCTAATATATCCAACTGCTTAGTGTTCACTCATTACCCCTAGTTTAATACTTTAAAAGAAAACTCCCACAAATCCACCACCCAAAATGCCAGCTAGGTACGTGATACCTCCATGTAATGAGGACTCCCTCATGACAGTGCCCTGCCTCCCCGACTCAAGACTACCATCATCCTGAATTCTACATTGAACATTTCCTTGGTTCCCTTTTTAAATAATTTATAGCACCTGTATTCATTCCAAAAATGTAGTGTATCTGGCATGTATCTGTTTTAACTTAAAATAGGGGAAAGGGTATCATGTTATACAAAATATACCTTTAGGAGTTAATTCTTCATTTAATATTATGTTCATTCATCTCATATTAAGTGACACTATAGTTCATTTGTTTTGTCTGTTGTAGAGTTTTCCACTGTATGTATTTTCCATTTTATGCTTATTTAACTGTTCTCCTACTGATGGTCATCTGGATTGTTTCCAGAGGGCTCCTTCAGCTGCATGAATCTAATCCTATTGGATCCTTCCTGCATATCCTAAGCATCTCACTGTCCTTTAGACAGGGTCCAAGTTCCGGTGAGCTAGTTTACAACAACTTATATGATCAGGCTCCTTCTGATCTCTCTGGCCTCATCTCTGCTTTCCTTCTATCTCTTGATCTTAGCCATGGGATGTCTTCCAGTCTTTGTACAGATCATGTACTTTTCTGCTTCTGGTCATCTACCTGACACTGTCCCCACCTCCTTACTCTCATCCTCTCTCTGTTCTCTATGAAGCCCTACCTGACCGACCACATATCACTCTCTAGAATTTAGTCCGATAGAATGCTACAGGAGGAGTGCATAATCCATAGTACCCTATTGGTATTGGTCAGGGATCTACCAGACTATCTTCTTTGGGGCCCAGTTGCTATCTGGGAATTGCTGCAGAGGGAAGAGTGGGGACAAAGTAGAGATGCTTTGTCTACCTTCCTCTCCCCAACTGAAGGAGTGGTATTGCTATTCTTGGTTTTATGGATTTCATTTTCTAAATGAAAGACTGCATTTAGAAAAGGTGTTCCATGAATACAGTTTTGCAAACCAGTGAATGAATCATTTATATAGTCTCTTCAAGCCCAGGCATGCTATAATGGAAAATGAGAAATGCAGAAAAAAGAAAAATAGGAGATATAATTTCACAATTAAGCACATAGGCTCTGAAGCACACCAACTTTGGCAAATCACTAAACATCTTTGAGGGTTCCTCACTTCTAAAGTGGGAATGACATTAGGATGAACCATATGGAATTACCATTTTTTTAAAAAAATATATTTATTTGAAAGAGAGAGCGCACAAGCATGTGCATGGAAGAGGCAGAGAGAAACTTTAGCAGACTCCATGATGAGCTCAGAGACCAAAGTGGGGCTCAATCTCATGACCCTGAGATCATGACCTGAACAGAAACCAAGAATTGAATGCTTAACTGACTGCACCACCCAGGTGCTCCCTGGAATTACTATTTCTATAAATCAAAAAAAAAAAAAAAAAGATCAAATGCTGGCAATTTCATAGGAGTCAAACCAATACTTATACATAAACCTGATCTGGGTGGGGGGAGGGCAGATTAAATGAGATAATCCAAGTATAATACTGAGACAAAGACTGTTAGGTTTCAACAATTCCATATATCTTCTTCCCCAAGGTCACTAGATAGAGTATATTTCCCTGTTTTTGTTCACAGATAGGTGTGCCCAATGGCTGAGCTCTTGCCAATGGAATGGAGCTGAAATGATATTTGTCACTTTCGGGCTTGGCCTGTTTAAACCTCTCATGTGTGATCCTCCATGTTCTTTCTTCTTCCACAGCAAGTAATGAAGCATCAGTTTGATGAAGGCACAAGATAGAACAAGGTGTGTCACTGAACCACTTCTCAGAGTGAAGCCACTCATCATCGAAAACATTTATTTGGGACTCCACATAAACATAAAATAACTTCTATTATATTAAGCCTTTGAGATTTGAGGATTTATTGGTTATAGCAGCTATATATGTACTTAAAACATGGTAAAGGAATCAATAAATGCCAATAACCATGATGATAATGATGACAAGACAATCCCAATAGACAACTGGCCCACAAGGGCAGGTGGCAGGAAGATTGGTACTTAGATGTGACTTAGTGGCTGTGTCAGGGAAACTCACCTCCTTGGTACCATTATCTTGGATAAGGGTGTAAAGTGGTACCACACGGTTGATTTCCAGCAGCACTGGTGTGGGGCTCAGCTGCTCCTTGCCTGGTCGGCGGCAAAGGTGGCAGGTAGATGGACAACGGCCTTTCTCCTCACAACGGATCTCCACACCTGAGATGAGCTGGTCGTCCGACAGCATTTGGGCCGTCAGCAGACCTGAGAGGTAGGTGATGAAGGGCATGGACTTGAGTTCCTTCTTGCTGCCCAGCTCTGTGGTCTCTGGAGAGGGGAGAGAAATTCAATATTGTTCAAAAGTTCAGACTCTTGAACCCGTAGAATCCAACGTGCTAAGGAGGTGGTATTCCATGGAAAGGAAAAAAGATGATAGAGTGGTTTGCTCCTGATGCCTTAGTAAGAGCACTAGTCTGATGACTCAGATGTCAGGTGGTGTCTTGTTTTACTATTTATATCAAATAACTCCTTACTTATTTTCTCTGGACCTCACTTTTTCCATATTTAAAGTTGATTGGTAAGACAAGAGGATTCTCCAAGGGCCCTGTAAAATATAAATATTCAAAGATATTTTCCCAATAAGGAATTTCTGTCTAGTGTCAAATTTATACAAATTCTAACTTTCTTTTGAAAACTTGCTCCAGTCCTATATTTTCCACGAAGTTTCATGTTATGGGGGAAACGCAAGCTGAAGTCAAGTCAATTTCCATTTAAATCTCAATTCTGCTTGATAATAGCAATGGGCCTTGGGAAGATCTCCTAATACCCAAAAGCCTGTGAGGATTAATTCTGTAAAATCGAGTTATAATACTAACTAAAACAGTTATGAGTGGTAAATGAGACAGAAGGAGGTGGACCTATCTGGAAAAGAAATGATTTCCTCTTTCTTTCTGTGCTCATCTGTTCCCTTGTTCAAAAGTCCTTCCCTGCCTTCTTCTTGTGCACACTGAGATCTAATTACCCACGCTCCGTTCAGTGCTGTCTCTCTTGATCCATTCAACTAGCATTTCCCACCTCTGTGTCTTTGTTCACCTGCCCTATTCTTCCCCTCTGCCTCTTCAAATGTTTGCCACCCATCAGTGCTCCATTCCAACATCACCCTCTTCAGAAGTCTTTTCTCCTTGCTCTAGCTCTTCTTCTCTGAGTATTTCTGTTGATAAACCCTGATCTTGTTAAGATCATTTTTTCATCCCATTTTCTGCCAACCTCTCCAACTGTATTTTCAACTCCTGGAGTTGGTACCATGTCACCCACTCCTGTCTCCTGCTCCCCCCCATCTGCTTCAGTGTCTAGCACAGTGCTAGGGATGTACTTGAGACTTCATCAAAGAGGGAGACTGTAGAACTCTGAATGGCTAGACTGACATTCGTGATCTAGTTCAGAGCCTCTGAAATCCTTCCGAGGAATTCTATGGATCCCAAGAAGCACCTCAACAGATGGTTGCAGAGGGCAGGAAGGAAACTGGGTAGATGAAACCCAAGACCCACATCTCAGCTTCAAATAGAGCAGTTCCACTTGTATCTCTTTTTATAGACTGGCCTTCTATATAAGACTTCATAAAAAGAGAATGGCTATGGCTATATCAAAAAGCAAAGTGATTTGTACAACCTGGAGAGTTCCATTTACATCACAGACCATATGAATGGTGTTCTCAGACTTGTGTAATGCATAATCTGAGTGGCAAACAGGGTGGCCTGCAATAAGGGACAGAATTTGGTCGAGACATCAGCTTCTTCCAATCCTGGTAAACTTAAGGTGTGCTCCTGCCTCAGTGGAGACAAGAGCCCTGGGCACCAAGGACTAAGAAAAAGTAGGGTTATCTCCTGCTCTAGCTCTCAGCTTGCAGTGACATGCAGCTGATCTGGAAATGGGCTTGCCAATTAGAAATACAAATAAATGCACCCTTCATTCATTACTCTCTGGGCCCTCGGGCCTGGGATCTGGGCTCCACCTTTTCTGTCTGGCTGTCAACAAATGCTTATGAGCATCAGATCAAAGGCTCTGAGGGAGGAAGACAAGGCAAATTCCAGCTAACCAATCCTTCAGAGGGATTAAAGAAGGGTAGTTACAAGATAAACAAAACAAAGCTGTGAAGAAGGCATCTCAGCATCTGGGCAGACAGAGACACTCTTATACACAGACAAGTTGAAAGAAGATGATGATGATGACTTTTGGAAGTGCAAGCCAGAGGCTTAGTTTTGGAGAAGGGTGACTTCAAACTTGGGAGAGAATAACCATTGAAGAGAGAGGGCTAGAGGACAGCCAGAGCTACAAGACATTAGGGGGGTTATCTCACACTCTGACCCCAGAGGTCAGTAAACTAAGTGGTCCATGGGGCAAAGCTAGCCTTCTCTCTCTCTCTCCTCTCTCTCTCTCTCTCTCTCTCTCTCTTTGTAAATAAAGTTTTATTGGAACAAAGGCACCTTCATTCATTGATGTGTTATGTATGGCTGGGCACACACAAGGGCACAATCGAGTAGTTTCAACAAAGATGCTATGACCCACAGAGACTAAAATATTTACTATCTGCTCCTTTACAGAATAAGTTTGGGTACCTTGGCTCTAGTCCTAGGTAATCGTGGGGAAACTGAGTCTCAGAAGGAGACTCTATCTTTGGTCAGTGTGGTAGTGTAATGAATTAAAGTAAAAACACTGGAATCAATTAGGCCATCATACATGTAAACTGTGAATCTCCAATGAGGAAAACATAGAGGGGGGCATCCTTTCTCCATAAAACATCTTTCAAAAGCTATTGAAAAAGCACACTTTTGAAAAATGTTAATCTGGTACAACCCTCCCATTTTACACAAGGGGGAACTGTGTCCCAAAGAAAGACTTTCCAAGGTCAGATGGTGAGTTAGTGTTCCTTTCATCACATGATCCCAGTCTCTTCTATTAACCAATTTGTCATTTAAATGACTATTTTAATTTCATATTTTAAAACATAGATGGCCTACACCTCACAGCATTTTACCATATGCACATAATTTAATTGGAAACGAAATGTGGTGCTGGAAGTAAAAATGCCCTTGATCAAATGAACACACATAGACACTGGACTAAAGATGTAACTAACCATTTAACCACAAAACAAGTTATAGATCTCTGCTGGTCTGTTTTTTTTCCAATAAATCTTTTTTTTTTCCAAATCTATCAATCCAACCGGTGAGTTAGAAGCCCAGAGTCTAGGCTGACAACTGCATTGCAGTAGCAATATAGAATTCATAGCTGAACTTAAGGGCTGGTTTTAAAAAAGAGGGCACTTGAGCATCCCATGGTCCCATCCCATTGCTCAACAAATGAAGAACCAGAGACTTTAACAGAGAACAAGATTTACATCTGTATTGTGTGCACATTTATTAACAATTATCTTTTTTTTTGTAAAGATTTTATCGTGCTTAAATTACGATCTGGATGAGAGTTACAACAGGGAAGACCATTAACCATTCCATTAATTATTCCTCTGTAGACATTATGATTATTGTGAAAGCTAATTATTTCTGATCCAACCTTACTCTGTGGCTAAAGTCATCTTTAGTTCAAATGCCAGTTCTTCAGAAAAGCCTTCCTTGACTTCCATCCCCATGCCACCAATCTATACAGGGCTTCGTATGAAAGATTCTCATAGCATCCTGTTCCATCCATCCTCTCTTCCCAGACTGTAAACTCCATGAGGACAAAGACAATATCAATTTTCCCTATGCCCATATCCAGTTTACATATAACCTGGAACATGTTAGGATTACAGTAATAGTTTTGATACAAATTTGTTGGGTATATATATATTGACCCAAAGTGCTGTGCTAGCTTATCAGAGCATTGATCAGTCTAAGAGTCAAGATTCATGAATTTCAAGACCGACAATTAACTGGTGGCTTGTAATCAAGTGCCAACTCTTCCCAAAGTAAAAAATTAGCTTCCTCAATTGGAAGGTTTACAGATGAATAGCTGATCAATTTGCCAGTTGTTCTGACCTCCTCTGGGTTTTCACATAGACCCTTCCATTGAGAGGATGGGAGAGCTCAGTTAAAACAGGCTGTCTTTAACAGGCAAGGATAAAGAGCATTTTTGAAGAGACGTATCCTCTGTTCACATTTCCCATCCCTCTGAACAATGCTTCCAAAATAGGATCATGTCTGGTTTTAAGCCCAATTCAGTTCCAATGACACTACAACCCATTCATTTGAGAACCTGCCAACTGAACTCTCTTTTTTCTCTTCCCAAATTCCTGCTGGGTATTATTTTGTTGCCACCAAAAAAAAAAAAAAAAAAGGCAGCCTCAGTTGAAGTGACAACTCCTTGTTGGGAGGGCAGCCAGGGCTTTTCGGCAGGAGGTGATGGCACTGCTTGCCCTCATCCAGAAAACAAAACAAAGGCAGCAGACTAAGGGCTCCTGGGAGAGCCAAAGCTGTGCGAATGTTTGTTCAATATTCGGCAACAGCGCAGGGCGCTGCCTCCCAAGTCAGACAGGCTTGCTTTGGCAATAGGCTTGCACTTGAAGCATTTAAAGGCTCCACGGGGACCAGAGGGGCTCAAATTAGAAACGTTAAGGGTGGGGGAAAGAGGGTGAGACTTTTATATCATAAAGAATGGCCTTTATTACAGCAATGGCCTCCCAGGAATTGCTGAAATGGGATCATTTCTTAGGCGGAGTTACTGTCTCCTGTTGGAGGAAAGCAATTGCTCTGAGGTCTGCCTCAAGGACCCACACAAATTTATCCTTAACAGAGGGAAAGTAGCCAGCCAAAAGGCCTGTGCTTCTGCACTGTGCAATCCAAACTTCCCAGCCTCCCAGTCAAGGTCCTGCATCGTTGGGGTGCCCTTCATAAGTCATGGTACCAACCTGACTGAGTTCTTGTGAGGATCAAACACGGTGCCTAGCAAAGGTTAAGCACTCAATCCTTTCTAGTTGTTGTTGCTGCTAATGCTGTGGTTGTTATAATTCTCAGTGCTGCTGTTGTAACAGGATGTTACAACTGAAATTTCCATTGAGGCACCAAGATAGAATAGAGATGAAATCCCCAAACCAAGCCCCAATATGCAGAACGTACAAAGGAGATGAATCCTAACTCGTTTCATAACTTCAGGAACCTCAGCCAGTACAAGGAAATAAAACAAGGTCAGAAAGTAGGCAGGAGGGATTTAGGAGAGATTTGTTTGAGACAGGCTGTTACCTAATGTTTAGAGTTTCCAGCGCCCCAGGTGAGACATGTAAAGCATGCTATCTTCTAATCCTGTTCTGTAAGAAGAAGCCTCAAGAGTGCCTC